GATGTTGGATTATGCGTAATTGACTGTTTTAAAGCTTATCATACCTTAAAACACTTCTGAAAATGGTTTTTGATTGAATAAACATATGTTTTCGCTATTTTAAAAAACTTAACTTTTTCAAAAAAAACCCGCCAAGAAAGGGTTAATGATAATTATCAAATAATCAATCATAATTCAAATTTCTGATTATGTTGTCTTTCGAAACAATAGGAAATATAGTACAATTAAAATTATTAATGTCAGTTGTTGCTGCAGTGTACACTCATATACTATTTAATCAAATTTTTGAGAAAAATAATTGATAGCCTTTTCTACGATAAAATTTACTGTTGTTTTTTGCTTTAGTTAAAGTGTTGCTAAAATAATTATAGACTTACACTGAATCTTTTAGAAAGTCTTTTGACATACTCTTAACTTAGATCTCAGTTGTAAGTACAAATAATCTTGTTCCTAAACAGTAAGAGCAGATTTGCATGTCTATAGAGGCGATTTTTATGCTTAACTCGGTAGAAAAGAAATAAACTTTTAAATTTTACTTAATGATACATCTTTGTATATGATAGTGCGGTGCACGATAAAATCATAAATGAATCAATCACACTCAGCATTCCGCTAAAATATTAGGGTCTTCGCCTTTTCCAACGAAACATAGTTCCCATCATCTAGGCGATAGGCCAGGAAACAGAAGAATCTTACTAATGCTGGTAAGAAAAGTTTGACGTAGATTTACAAGATAATACAAAATTTAATTAGTTTGCTGAAAGCTTCTCATTGAAGCAAAGTTGTATAACTTACTGCGCTCCAGTCAATTTGGGTACCCCTATCATAATTATTTTAAGAAAATTACGATAATGGCACAGAAAACTGATTAGAACTAATCAATAAGAATGAGCTTTCTGAAAATTTAGAAATGAATAGATATCTGAGAGTCTTATTTATTCAAATAAGTAAGCATTAGCACGGTGCATGTCCAAATGACTTCATAATTAGTCATTTTACTCTATTTTATTGAAAAACGAAAAACGAAAAACGAACTAATAGGTTCTGTATTATAAAACTTGAAAATTGTAATGCTTTTTTGTTATTCAGACATTGAAATATCATTATGTTCATACTTCTCATGCAACTGTATGTTATCATAATTGAAAGAAGAATCCTTACAGGATGATGATGATGAAACAGCGTATTTTTTAGCGAGCGATATTTCGATTTTTAGAAAATTCTCTCAGAAATGTATAAAGCGGTTTCTAAAGAAATTTTTTGTTTTAAAATACAGTTAATATCTCACTATCTAACTGTAAAAGTTTATTGTTTATACCTGAACAAAAACAATTAATCGACCATATACATAATTCTGTATCAGTTCATAAAGATTGAGATTTTTTCAAAGTAAATTTATAAGTATTATATAATGTTAATTTGAACCGAAAATATTGTAAAAGGATTTGGTTATTTAATCGATCATTTTTTCTACTAATGATCAGCTCGTTTGGATTTAGTTTTATCAAATTTGCTTTCTAATTCTTGAATACGAAGATCTTTTCTTTGTATGATTTTTTCATAGCATTTCAGTTTATTTCGTAACATTTCTAATTCATCATGTTTCACTCGTAAAGCAATACGCAAATCATCATAATCACCGTACATGCCTGTGGCACCCACATAATCACGAGGATGAAAACGTGAAACAGCAGGTAAATGGTGCGCTGTACGCGGAACAATCATGGGTAACGCAAGTCGTTCAGTATTGTACGAACGCCATGTCTCCCATTGTAATCGAGATTTTCTACCAGTGCGTAGCAAATGTTCTTCAATTTTTTCTCGTAAATGTAGCATGAATAATTCGATAGCTCGTAGATCACCATTAGTAATATCGTGGACAACAGTACCTGGAGCGTACAATGATAATTTCGGCAAGATATCAGAATTTAATAGACGCCAATTTTTTGTACGTTGTGACATATTTCTTGCCGGATTGAAAATGTTAATATCAACATATTCCGGGAAAAAATACCAAATAATTTCTGCCACCAGTGTACCGTCAGAAAAATCGGTGTCTAAAGCACGAACGGGACGCGACAACGGTATAGTATCTAACCATGCTAGAATATCATAATGAGCAGCCATTTGGTAAGGAGGCGAAGATTCTTGACTAACAGCATCCGACATAATGAATTAAATTTATTTATAATATATATATTTACTTGACGTAATAATATATGACTAGAATATATGAATTTATGAAAAAAATTTCGATCACTCTTTTAGCCAATACAAAGAACTAACGACTTTTAGACTAAAAAATATTCATGTTACAATACGACACAGACATACCAAAAGCAATTTGTAAATGTTCCATTTAGAGTTGTCTACTATAAATAGTATTCGCTCTGAAAAATGTACAGTCTCATATATTTTTGCTCGATCTTAAAGTTCACCTCAGATTCTTTTGTCTGTTATCTGTTCTATGTCATCTATTTTAAACAAAAACCGACTGTTAACTGCGATTTGAAAAGAAAATGTTTGACTACATTAATCGAAGACATCGAGAGTTAGTTCTTTTTCGATTTTCAATTTGTCTTGGATTCATCATACGTATATATAAATAGCATGAGCCATCAAAACACTTCGAACTTCTCTCTATAACTTGTTGAACTATGAAATTCGACTCAGTTTAAGTAACTTATCCGTCCGACTGTGTCTTGGAGTACTGACTGACGCAAAATTACTGATCAGACCTAAACAGCATTAGTTTAGTATTGTATTTAGTGACGGCTTTATCGCTAAGGAACACCGTTAAAGTTCAATATTTATAACGGAACTGAAAAACAAGCGTAACAGATATAGAAGAATGAATGCTCATAGTAAAACGTTGTACCAATATAAAAAAAAACTTTTCATCATCGTCTGATAATCAAGTTCTTTTTATTATTGACATTGTGATAATATGATCCCTATGGGACTGGTCTCGTTGATCTTTGACTCTATACGATTATTTTTCATTTGAGCCCAACGTGTTAAAAGAAACAATTGTTATTCTGTTAGATTTTTAAGTTCCACTGCCATACTTACATTTATCTTTTTCGTCAAATGCGATAATATAAGAGGAAATTAAGATTACCAAATTATGTAGTCAAATGTTTCAAGTTGGAAGCATCCGTTTCACTATTTCATTCTCAGAAGCGCTAAACGATTCAATAATTCAAAACTTCCTGCATGAAAGCTTTCTATTGAAAATTCACTTAAATGCCTTTTACGAGTGTTAAAATAACAAAGCAACAACGTACTGAACTTTGAATTATTAAAAAAAATATTTTAAGCTGCACTTCAAGCAATTAACAACTGCAGAAAAATGGGTAAAAGAAAGGTAAGACAGTTGTAAATAGAGGAGAGAATGAAAATTTATTTAATTTCATTTTGATATTTGCCGTTGTAAAAAGTAAATAATATTTAGTTTCGATGCATAAAACAATAAACATATATATTATATTAAACAAATCATTACGGTTTTTACCAATTATTTACACTGTATGAATTTAAAACAGTTCTACAATCATGTCGATGAAAGAGTATTATAGTTGAGAGATGAATATTATAACAGAAAAAAACATTTATCTAACTTTGAAATAACTTGAAAGTTTCTACTTCTTTCAATTATAAAAATAATCGTTTTTAAATATTTATTAGTAGCTTTATTAAAATGAACGTAGAAGATTGTAAAAAAACAAGTCTACATCGTTTTTCTAAGATAATCATATTTTGACTTTAATGAACAATATTCTTCATTTTTGTGTTGTTCTTCATTATAATAATGATTGACATTAGCTTATTTTAGTCATTATTAAGAATAAAATAGCGGATTATCATACAAACATATGTATAAAATATGCTTGAATGTGTTAATTTATTTATTCATTTATAAATAGCAGAAAAAAAAGAATTCTTTTTTTTCTATATGTTAAAAAATATTTGATTGCAGTCAAAAAAGTTTGTCTCTTTAACAAAAAAGGATTAAATATAAACTTACATACTTGAATAATTTTATTTAGTAAGCATTAATATATAAAATACTTTTTTCCTGTTTACTATTACTAATAGAGTAATAACATATTTAACATCACAACAAACATTATAACAACAACTAATAATAAAATATTGTTCAACAGAGAAGAAAGAGGATTTTAGATCTTAGGAAAAACATTTATTATATCTTGCGTACTCCAGAGTGTGTCCTGTTATATTTTCAGTTTCAGAGAGTTTATCAGATCCATGCAAAAGCAAATTATACTCTATTTTACTTGTACAGGGAGGCATTAGAAGAGGTTATGCGATGAATAATTTTTTCTGTTAATGACTTATGAATGTCAGTATATTTATGTATTACAAGAAAAAATGATATATAAGTTCGGGCTTGTTGCAGAAAATACAGTTTCGGTTATTAGTTTAATTTCATTTGTATTGGTGAACTTTTAAGAAGTTGAATTTGTCTTTATATTGGCACAGACAAAACATTAGTAAAACAAGTTTTTCACTAAGATTTTCCAGAAAGTCTTCTCAAAACTCAAGGTTTAAAAATTTATTTTTCTCACTTTGCGGCACAGCCAATTTGAAGATCGTCACGAACGTCTCTATGCTGAAATTTTTTTCAACTGATTTGGATGTATTTTCATCGAGTTAGGAATTTTTTAGTTTTTACTATACCTAGCCGTTTTGGCGCATTTTGCGTTTTACGAATGTACAGTATGTTCCTGTAGGTTCATAGTAAAACAAATATTGCCTTGAGATCCAGCATAGGCGATAACCTATGTTTCCATTCATTTTTGAGGTTCCCAAATATAAAGATCACCGAATCCGGAGCATATCTAACACGGCCGAATGTTGATAGATGGAGACGTCGAATTTGCACCGTTTTCTAGAACAATGTCTCGTGGTTCGAATCCACTCAGTCTTAAACTTTTTTAGTGCATGGATATTTCTCTCTGCAAAAGTTTGCTATCTCTTTCCTCTCGAAAGTTACTCAAAAAAACAATGGACTGCATTTGATTTTGAAATGGATAGCAGTTGCCTACCATGATAAAAAGAAAGTAAATCTTTTCATTTTCATTAGAATACTTTTCCAAACAGACAAACATTGTGGTCTTCAGAAAACTCCGTTAAAACTGAAAAACTATATACAACAAGTAACATCAACAAATTGTTTCGAAACATTTAAACTTCTGCGTAGTAATATGCCCAGTAGTGAGGGAAGAACACAAGAAGTTCTTTCCTGATTAATTTCAAACTTTCCTGGAAAAATGAGATTTCTAGAAAACTTCAAAAACCATCAACTTAGGATCAAATCAATTGTACCTTGAAAACACGCAATGATGGAAGTAATGTTCTGATGCTATTGTCGCAGAATCAAAGTGGTGCCAGTCTTCGAACATCAGGAATAAGAGAGTTCTTAAAAGAACTTCATAGAAGAACCATTATTAACTATTTTTTTAAAAGATTATACAGTTGTGTAGTGCTTGAAAGTTGATTCTAATAGATGTTGTTGCCTTATTTTTAATGATTCTCTGATCTGTAAGTGGAAATGTAAATCACTGAACTAACAATAATTAACCTTAATTAATTATTAATAATCCTAATATACTACTAAGGAGCCTGTAAATCGATTTACAATTGTTACTTGACTTAAGATTACGACAAGGCGCCAACTTGCTGTAATCAAGCTAATCTATTGATCATAAAAAATTATAACAGAAGAGGAGTATGCAGATGTCATACCATTTGAATTGTAAACTGCAAGGGTATATTATCTAAGCAAATTCGGAATATGTAAACTCCTTTCACGAATTTTTTGCATTGAAGTTTATGGGAAAATTTACTGATGTTGGAAGATGAGCTAGAGAATGGTAGAATAAAATTGAAAGAGAATTTATTAATATATTTAACTTTAATTGAACATCAGATAAAATAAATCAGAAAATATATTGTAGTTCAATACTATAAGAATCAACACAGAAAAACACAAGAAAATAATTGCTTTTTATAATTAAATTAAAAACTATTTTGATTGAAGTTTACCATTTACACACTTATACTGTGATGGTTTGAAACATGCATGAGAATTTTTGCCACATGCTTGCTGACCTTTCGGACAAAGTTGTCCATCAAGACAATCATACGTATTTGTATCAAAAGTTCTGCCATTACAACTGTTTGATTGTGCTTGCTGCTGTTTGATTGCAGCTGTTGCTGTTGCTGTTACTATTGGAGACGTTGTATCACCACTTGGACAAAGGATGATCTCATAATTTGCTTTCATACATTGATAGGTGCCTGAAAAAAACTTTCAAGCTATTTCGTATGTTGCAAAGAAGGAAAAAAACTCACTCTTGAAATCATCAAATTGCCAACTATAAGCGTCTGGACATGGTATTTTAAAAACTTTATCGTATCCTATGTTCTGCGATGAACGCGGCCACGTCTCAACGTCACATTTACCGCCTGCAGTAACCTTATCATGAGGACTCACACAGTGTTGTCGATCACAACTACAACAGACCAGTGAACGGGTATCTTTATTATCATAGAAGTTTTGTAACATTTGATGTTTTGCACGTTGGCCTGCGTTGTTAATGGCTGCACATATACTAGCGCACACTTTATTACCAGCACCATCGTCCATTTGTAATTCTGGTGGACATTTGTTTACATCAAATGTGCATGTAGCAGTACCACAGTTATATTTGCCTAATTCTTTATTATTAACCATTTGAAACTGTCCGATTGGTTTAATTGTCATTCCCACGCTGTGTCCATCAACTATCAAAGAACACTCAACAGTTATTATTTTTGGAAAAATGATTAAAACTGGCTCACCATTCGACAAATCATAGTAATCTAATCCACCAGCTCCATTTAGTGTAAATTCGGCTAAAGTAACAGGTGGTTGACCACTGATGCCTTTGCATGGTATGCCAAATCCATTTGCACGAGCCCCGCAATCGCCTATATTGTGAAAGAAACAAATTTAAAAAATATCAAGATTCAGAGAGTATCTCGAAATACCTGTAGCACATTTAAATTGTTTGTTAATCCATCTACATCCAGTCCTCGGCCAAAATCGTCCAGCCACCCATCCGTCAGGTACATCAATGTCTTTCGTTGATGCGGCTGGTAATTCGAATCCACCATCAACAATAAGCGGTCGACCTTGAATACCTATCCACAATGTCTGTTTACATTGATTGATAAAACGAAAGGTACGTGCATTCGCATTACTATGCGTTAATGCAATAACAAGAGCAACAGTTAAATAGATTGTCGACATCTGAAAACTATGTAAATGTTTAGATGTTGTACCTGTAAAAATTCAAGCAGGTCCTATGCACATAATTTTTCTAAGTAACCATGCATAGTTGAAAATTATCAATAATTCACAGAACCCTATGCATAAGAGTCCTATGGTGTATGTTCCTACGCGAGGTTATGCGTAGGACCTTTTTTATCCATAGGAAGACCGTCGTATGCATAGTGGGTGACTTTTCGTTATCAAAATGCTACCCATCTTATGCATAATACAATCTAGATCAAAACGGCAATTATGCAAAATTAAACTGTTTTATTATGCGAAACTATGTGCATCGGACCTGTTTGATTTTTTATATGGACAGCTACACATTGATAAGAGCATTTTCAGAAAAAATTCAAGAATAACGTCAAGATATTAAAACTATTATATGCGTCGACGTTTACTGTTATACTTATATCTAGTCCGAACAAAATGACGTTTTTCAAACGACGTACGTGTCTAGACGGAAGTTTAGCATAATATTATGAACAGTTCGATTCTTCATTTTGTTTGGGCTACATATAAGTATAACAGTAAATGTCGACGGATATAATAGTTTCAGGGTCAGCATGAAAAAAATCTTGCGTAAAGGTAAGAAACATCGCAAGACCTTTTAACTTATTCAATCCACAAGTTTTTTCCTACGAGATCTGGCAGAATTTTGTTGGTTGAAAGAAAAACTCCATGTCTATCCTGCGGTATCCAGCAATCTTTTCTCACCAATGTCTGTCAGGGAGACTGTGGAGAAACTTGTCTGGATGTTTTTTTTTTGAAAAGTAAGGAATTATTTTTGTTATAAAGTTATAAAAAATTTTCTCGTGTCCATAAACTTCTAGAAAACGTATACCATAATATTTTGACTTTAACACGCATTTTCATGTGTACAAAACCAAACTATTAATAGACAGCTGAAAAGATCTTTTTTATGTCAGGAATATTCCATTTTTTTCCATCAATAAGAAATTAAAGTCATTAGAATGATCACGCTACTGTGAAAAAAAGATGTATAGCAAAGCAGATATCAGACTATTCTAAATTTCTTCAGTTTTGAATGGTATCCTCTCGTTTCGTCCCGTTTTTTTTTCTAGCATTCTACTCATTTTGTTCTATCTATACACTGTGTACTAATTAATATTACTATAATTCATTAAGATAACGTAAGAAACTAATACATGGCATATTCATACGTTGATACGTATCAATATGGATGGACTTCGTTTTTCTAAACCTGGATCAATAGCAATTTAATGTTAACGAAGTCATTTTGTATACTCCATGATAGAATTTAACTGTTTAATGGAAAGCCTTTTGCAAAAAAACAATACTCATGAATGAAACAATGGCAAGGATCTGACGAATCGAGGGGCTGAAAGTTTACAACAATTGTGATAATAAATTGAAGGAATATTTTACACGATATGAAAATGATACTTTGTCTGGAACTGAACTTGCAATTAAATGTGGCAAATGTGTTAATACTGTAAAATTACTTGTTTCATTGTAACTCGTAAATAAAATAATAAATGTAACTTATAAAGCCATCTATCAATTTCTTACATTATCTTAATGAATTATATTAATATTGATTAGTTGATAGAAAAAAAAATGAATAGTTATAAAATGAGTAGAATGCTAGAAAATAAACGGGACGAAACAATTAGGGTATCAATTTTTTTGATCACCAAAAAAGTGACTTTTGATCACCAAATT